ATACATACATACATACATACATACATACATACATACATACATACAAACAAACATACATACATACATACAAACAAACATACATACCTACATGCATGCATACATACATACATACATACATACATGCATGCATACATACATACATACATACATACATACATACATACATACATACATACATACATACATACATACATACATAGTTTTACATACATACGTGTCATTGCTTACATCCTGAGACAAATGCTTTAAAAAAACGTTCAAAATAAATAGAGGCAATTTTATAAGCCGACAATAACTTATGTATGTGTATATATATATGTGTACGTGCGTGCGTGCGTGTGTGTGTCTGAAGTGAATGAATGAATGAACACATGAATGAATGAATGATTGAATGTATGAATGTTTAAATGAATTAACCAATCAGTGAACCATTGAATCAATGATTGATTCATTGTTGGATGGATGAATAACTATATAAATAAGTACGAACGAACGAACGAATGACGAATTAACGAATGAACGAACGAACAAACGAACGAACGAACAAACGAACGAACGAACGAACAAATTAATGAATAAACGAACGAACGAATGAACAAACGAAGGAATAGCTGAATGACTAATTGAGTGAGGTGTTACTCAAAAATATATAATTTTTTATTAGATTTTATGGCAAAAACAAAGCCAATGTTAGCAGAAACAATTAAACCCCTTTAAAGTTTATTACAAATAACAACATCATTACTGTAATGTTGACAAACATTTTCATCATCATCATCGTCATCATCATCATCATCATCATTGTCTTCATCATCATCACAAACATCGTTAGCATTAGTTTCAATTTTGTTAGCCCAACCACCTATTTTATCATCATCATCATCATCAACGTCAGCGTCATAATTATCATTATATTTAGTGTTTTTGTTGTTGTTGTTGTTGTGGTACGTTTGTTTTCTCCATTTTATCCTCCTATTTTGAAACCAAACTTTGACCTGAGCCTCTGTCAGATGAAGAGATGAAGCGAGGAATAATCTAGAATGAAAGAGTGACAATAATGAAGATGTTGATGATGATGTTTTTGTTGTTGTTGTTGATGATGATAATGATGTTAGCAACATCAGCAACAACAGCAACGACAACATCAGCAACAGCAACATCAATAACAACATCATCAACAACAACAACAACATCTTCAACAACAACATCAGCAACAGCAACAACAGCAATGACAACATCAACAATAGCAACAACAACATCAACAACAGCAACAACTCACCTTTCTGATCCAACCATGTATTGCTGCTGCTCGAATTGTTTTTCTAAACTTTGTAACTGCTCTGTAGTGAAAATTGTTCTTATTCGTTTTATGTTGTTGTTGTTGTTGTTTTGGATGTTTGTATTAAAAATGAAGTTGTTGTTGTTGATATTTCCATTGTTGTTTTGCTGGCAGGCGAAATGTACATTTCTTCTTTTCACGTTGCTGTTGTTGTTTTTGAAACTACCATCCTTGTTGATGATTTGGCCGTTGTTTTGGTTTGTTAAGTACGTTGTTGTTGTTTTGTTGTTGTTGTTGACGTTGTTGTTGTTGTTGAAATAGGTGTTGTTGTTGAAATAGGTGTTGTTGTTGCTCAGTACTTTCTCTGAAACAGCCACATTTTTGTTGTCTAGTAAGGATTCGATTGTAAATTTTATCTGTTGTTGTTGTTGATGATGTTGCTGTTGTTGTTGATGTTGTTGTACATAAAAATTTAAGTACTTTCGTTCAGACTCACGGCAATTATCGCTCTGATTGATTTGTAGCTGATGTTGTTGTTGATATTGTTGCCAAGTATGTACACGCCGTTGCTTTTGTTGTTGATGTTGTTGTTGTTGATGTTGTTGTTGTTGTTGATGTTTATGAAAATTATTTTTAATAATGACGTCATCATTCCAAACAAACTTATCGAAATCTTTGCGTGTCTCTTGATTAGCAAGCATAATTTGGCTAAAAACCGTTCTCAATAAAATATTTTTAACAAATGTATTTATTAATTTAATTGAAAAATTATTATATTATAATATATAATATAATATATATTAATTACGAATAATTATAAAACTAAATTATCTCAAATTTATTTATATTAAGTGCTCCTCGAGATGTGGATTGTGTACTTTATATACTATCATAATAGGTTGGCTGACCGGCCGGACCAGCTATTCGATGTTTATGTCATTTGTTCATTTTACATTCACTCATTCACGCGTTCGTTCTCAGACTCTCTCTCTCTCTTTCTCTCTTTCTCTCTTTCTTTTTCTCTCTCTTTCTTTCTTTCTCTTTCTCTTTCTTTACCGTTTTCTCTTTTCTCTCTTTCTTTTCTTTTCCTTTGCTTTCTTTCTTTAGTGGTTTTCATTTTGTTTATCTCCGTCACACTCACTAATTTTGTCTCTCTCTCGCTCTTTCTCTCTCTATCTCTCTCTCTCTCTCTTTCTCGCTCTTCTTCCTAATTTTCTCCACAGCATACAACAGCTCATCACACGTACATGCAGATTAACACATCACTGATTTATTATTATTATTTTTATTATTCGCCCATTGGTGTGGTCTGCTCGAAGTTGGTTGGCTGGTTGGTTAGATGGTTGATTGGTTGGTTGGTTGTTTGGCTGGTTGGTTAGATGGTTGATAGGTTGGCTGGGTGGTTGGTTGGTTGATTGGTTGTTAGTGATTAGTATCAATTTAATTTTTACAAAACGATTTAATGAACCAATGATTGGATAAAAAGATGGATGACTGGATGGATAGACAAATGAATGAATGAATAGATGGATTGATGAATAGAAAGATAGATGGAGGAGTGAATGAATAATGGATGAATATTTCAATATTTCAATTAATTGTCAAATGTAAAAGCATGAATGAACGAATGAATAAATGAAAGAACAAACAAAGGAAGACGCGAATAGATAAATGAATGAATGAATGAGTGAGTGAAGAAAGAATTAAATGAATGAATGAATGAATAAAAACTAATTCGACGCCAAATCTCCAAGGATAACTTAGCTCCCGTCAGATCAGACAATCTGTTCCAATATTTATTTAATGGTTTTATTTAATTTATTTTATCTGATTTTCAAAGTATTTTTAATTATTATTTTATAAATAAAATTAAATAAGAAAAATGACAAGAGAGAATGAATACGAAGACAAGAATATTGAATATTATTTAGTGGGTGGAATTGAATGAGTGAGTGAAATGAACGAACGGGCAGTTATATGAACAAATAAAGGAATGCCCGAATGAACGGATGAACAAATGAAATAGCCATAAAAATGGTGTTGATGATGATAAAACCGATGATAACAAAGATGATGACGACGACGACCATGATGATGATGAAGACGATGCCGATGGTGAAGATGAAGGAGTTAAATGATGATGAAGATGGTGATGAAGAAGATGAAGATGAAGAAAAAGATGATGATGAAGAAGAAGATGAAGAAGTAAGATTCTTGATATCGTCTAGGATAAATCGAAAGGCGAGGGAGAACGCAATTAATCACAATCATTCTCAGATTAATAAGCCAGTTATCTTCTCCCGTTACACACAGCTTTGCCCAAAACTTTTTCTCTTCTTTTTCGTTTTTAAATTTAAATTATTCTAATAACTATATTAAAATATTTAATTGATTATATATATTTTTAAAATCTTTTTTTAAATATTAAGTTATTTTTCTCTCACGAAGTTCTATCGGATAATGAACGAGTAAATCTTACTGCACTCTGGGGAGCAAAAAGTCATCATGAGATGAATGTATTTTAGGTTGCGATGCTTTCAATTAAGACTCTCAAAACTAAAAACAGACTCCATAATTCAATTTCTAATTTAAACAATTATAAAAATAAATGAAATAAAACTGAAATATATATAGTCAAAAATTCTACATTAAATTCATTCTTGCATCACTGAATTTATTATCAGATATTTGCTAATATTAGCAACTGTGCCAGCGTCTGAATCATCCCATACACACGAACACATATACACGCACATACAAACGTACGTACATACATACACAAATACACACATATACACACGTACAAACACACATTCATACACGCACGAACTTTCACACTCCAGTATACACACTCAAACGCACATACAAACACACACATACACACACACATGCACAAAGATACAAACATACATACACACACACACAGATCGGCACGCATCAAATCGTGAATAAATTATGTTAATGAGATCGATACAATTTCACGCGTACAGAGAAGAGTCGCTAGATGAGACTGTATAGTATAGAGACTGACTCAAATAAACACCGTCTTCTTCCCGTTCATATATTTTGCTCGCTGGGTTCCCAATAACAATTTGCGCGTGGTTTTTGACAACATTTTCTAACAAAGTTAATAAACCTCAATAGTTTATTTATTACAATTTCCGAATTTTGCGGCTTAAACTTCGGAACGAAAAACAAATTTGAAATAGAAATCTCGAGAGTGATGCTGGAAAAGTGGAAAATGAACTTGGCTGTGTTGCTGGTGGTGACGATGGTGATGACGACGATGGCTGCGGATGTTAGTTTTGAATTTTAATTCAGTACTCTATCTTACAGTATTATCATTGTTATTGTTATTGTGAAAATTCTAAACTGGTGCTCTGTTTCATTCTGTATTTTTGATTTTTCATCATGTGTTCAATTATTACGCTTTGAATCACCGTAGTTTGAAAATTTGTATTGCTACTACTGTTCACCCAAACATTCATTCGTTCGCTCATTCATCCATCCATTCATTCGTTTTTTTGTCCATTCGTTCGTTCGTTCGTTCATTTATTCATTCACTCATTCATCCTTCATTCGCTCGTTCATTCATTAGTTCATTTATCAATTCACCAATTACTTTTCAACATCCAATTGAATATAGCCAACTAAATAATCATAATGTGTGTATGTTTGTGTGTGACTGTGTTCCTGTGTGCGCGCGTGCGTGTGCGTTTATGTAAACTTGTTTACCGTTTAAAACGATGTTCATAACAGTGACAGAATGAAAAAGATATTAATAAATAGAGATAGCGAGCGAGATGGCAGACTTGTACCATTCCTAGCTTCCTATGTATTATGATGTATTTAATGCGTTTGAATAAGTTCATCCAATGATTTATTAACATTAACATTATCTATTATTCTTTGTATTGTTACCATGCTCACTATTATTTTTCTTATTATGATTGTGAAAGTATTAAGAATTTTATTCTTCTTACAATTTTTTTAATAATTATTATTATTATTTGCCATGTCATTTATCAAGTTTTTGAAATTTATTTTCAAATGTTTTTTAAGATCTTTATATAATAAATTCATTCATTCATTCGTTCGTTCATTCATTCACTCACTCACTCGCTCACTCACTCACTCATTCACTCATTCATTCATTCATTCATTTATACACTCATTATTTCTTTTACCAAAACCATTATTATAATTATTATCAATGACATTACGTATTGTAACAGCACAGCAACAAGACAACATAAGAACCAAAAATTCCTCATTGCCAAATAAATAAATGAATGAATGAATGAATGAATTAATTAATTAGTTAAGTAAATAATTAATGAATGAATAAACGAAAGAACAAACAAAATGAATGAATGAATGGATAAATAAACTAATTAATATTTAATTAAACCTCCCTTGCCCCTTAGCCCGTGGCTGTTGCGTCTGTAGAGGACCCAATGGTGGCATTCAACTGCGGCAGGCCCGCCATGTTTCTGACCAGTACAGGTTGGAAGAAGGACTCAACCACAACTTGCATCAGTGACCCGGTAGCTATTTTGGCATACTGCCAGAAGGTTTGTGGAGTTTTTTTTGGCGGCCATTTTGAGGGTTTTTTTTTAATTTTAATTCTTTTGATCGGAGGAAAAATTTAATAAGCACAAAACTAAAAAAGACCAGAATTATTTTTATTATTTTTCTTTTTTGTCTTCTTCTTCTTCATCATCATCATCATCATCATCATCTTCTTCTTCTTCTTCTTCTTCTTCTTCTTCTTCTCCTTCTTTTTCTTTTTATCATAAAAAAATCTTAACAACCCTGAATTAAGCATGTACAATATTAATTCATTAATGTATCTATTTATGCATTTCTATAAAAACACACATATTAATACATACATTCACATACATACATACATACATACATACATACATACATACATACATACATACATACATACATACATACATACATACATACATACATACATACATACATACATACATACATACATACATACATACATACATACATACATACATACATACATACATACATACATACATACATACATACATACATACATACATACATACATACATACATACATACATACATACATACATACATACATACATACATACATACATACATATAAATATATACAAAAGTACATGCATATATACAAACACGCATACATTCACATACACACATACACAATAGACAAACACAGGTAGACATGTATGCATAAAATATACTTAAGATGACTGCCGACTAGATCTTTAACGTAATGAAATGTGGCAATAAAATATGGAAAATGCTTTTGTGGGTGAGTCTGTCGTCTTTTGAGTGTGACACGGACGGTGAAGATTATGACCTAGATGATGACCTAGATGATGACGTAGATGATGATAAAAGGTGAAGTGTCTCTTGTCTAGGGGGATGATGATGCTTATGATGAGGAAAGTGATAATGTTAATGATGATGGCAACAACTTTGAAAGTGATAATGTTGATGATGATGGCGATGATGATGATGATAATGATGTAGATAATGATAATGATAATGAGGAGGAGGAGGAGGAAGAAGAAGATGACAATGATGAAAAGAGGGAACGGTGATAAATAACGTTGTTTGGTATGCTTGTACAGGTAAAACAGACCAGGTGTGTTATTTAATTAGCAGCATCCAATTATAAGTAATGAAAAAGTGTGTGTGTGTGTGTGTGTATGTATGTGTGTGTGTGTGTGTGTGTGTGTGTGTGTGTGTGTGTGTGTATGTATGTGTGTGTGTGTGTGTGTTTTTGTGTGATTCATGTTATTTTATTTTTAGATAAAATTTTTCTAATTTAAAACAACAAAGATTGTATAGCGAATCTCTTGATGCAGTTATCTTTATTAGTTCAAAAGTTTTTTTTATCTTCTGTGGCATATTATTTAGCATTTTTGGGTGTATTTTGGAGGTTTTTGGCTTGTATTTCTGGTATTATATTGCGGTATTTCTGAGGTATTTTGTAACTTTTTTGTAGCGTTTTAGCGCTGGTTCTAGATGTCACACTGTGTTTCATTCATTTTCATTTCTGTGCGCTGATTCAAGTTTTATTTCGTATCAGAGAATCACATGATAAAAATAAAGATTTTAACACGTGAAGAGTTTGCTGTGAATTTTTTTCTTGTTGAGTGCTAAATTGAAGTGAAAAACGTCTGGATCGCTGCCGGTGTCAACAAAATTTGCCTGCGGGGAATCTCTGTTTTTTTTTTTTTTGAAGTGTAAAATTTCTTAAGAGGAAAAAGTCACCACGTTTTGTAATGATGATGATGATGATGATGATGACGACGACGATGATGATGATAAAATTAACGAGTGTGATGATTATATGATGACAATGTTGATGATGATAATGATGATAATTTTGATGATGAGGATAATGATAATGCTGATGATGATGATGACGATGTCAATTGTGACGCCGATGATGATGTTAGGATGACGACGACGACGATGATGAATGTCACCGATGATTAAGAGATAGGATCAAGTAATCATTTGATAGCGTGACGTCATCGCAGTTGCTTGCTCACGTGATGCGTCGTACAACAGCAAAGAGTCTGAGGAAGATAAAATCAACGACATAATCATCATCATCGTTCTCATCATCACCATCCATCTTCACCATCATCATCATCTTCTTCATCATCATCACTATCATCGTCTTCCTCGTCATCATTATCAACTACAGCACCATCGTAATCATCATCACCGCCAACATCATCACAATCATCATCAGTAGAATCCACGACATAAAATTCAATGGTTCATGCATACATTCATGCCTCTTGTTTATAATATCACCATAGCAACGCTGGCTATGTACCAATGGAGGGAGAGAATAAGAGAGAGAGAGAGAGAGTGAGAGAGAGAGTGATAGAAAGATAGAAAAGGGGGAGAGAGAAAGAGAGAGATAAAAAGAGAGAGAAAGTGAGGGAGGGAGAAAAAGAGAGAGAGGGAGGTAGAGAGAGAAAGATAGAGAGCAATAATGGAGAGATAACGGAGAAAGAGAGCAAAAAGAAAATCTGAAAAAAGCTAAAAAGAAACGAAGAAAGAGAAATAAAAACTGAAAAGAGAGAGAAAGATAAAAAATGAGAGAAAAGAAAGAGAAGGAGAGAAACGTGTTTAATTGCTTGTTTTAGGGACCAAATTAATGGCCGGTATTTGAGGATATTGCTGGAAAAAGACATTAACATTTTTTTGTTATACTTGTTGATGCTATGCTAGTGTTGTTGTTGTGATGGGCAGCATGTTGAGTGTGGGATCGACCGGTCGACCGATAGACTGACCAATCAACCATCCAACCAACCAATCAACCACCCAACCAGCCAATCACCAATCCATTCAACCAACCAACCAACCAACCAGCCAACCAACCAATTAAATTAGCGAAAAAATCAATCAAGTAATAAAGATACGAATTTCCATCCAACCAAATGTCAGCCACCGCCTAATCGAGTTACATTTTCAAACTAATCCAATTGATGTTGTTAATTTGTTGTCTGTCTGACTTAATATTTTGCATTATTTATCTATATGTAGGCAGGTTTGTCTGTCTGTCTGTATGTATGTGTGTATGTATGTATGCATGTAAGTATGTGAGTGTGTGTATTTATGTGTGTTTATGTGTATGTACGTATGTATGTATTATTGTTTATTAATTATTTTTTTATTCTCACCTAGTTTTCATTCATTGAAAGGTTGGTGTGTTGTAAGGATTGTTCAAAAAAATGCTTTAATTGTATCGGATATTAGTGACGCATACACGCACGCACGCACGCACACGTACACACACGCACACAGAAAGGAAGAGAAAGAAAGAAAGAAAGTAGGGATGGACGATATAGCAACCTAATGCGTTAAATTTACGTTAGAATCGGAAGTGTGCGCTATATCATTAACATCATTATCGTCATCAACACCTTAGCAGTAATATCATCATTACTATAAACATCAACAACAACATCAACAACAACATCAACAACAAAAACATCAACAACATCATCAACAACATCATCAACAACATCATCAACAACATCATCACAGCATTAATCAACTACGACTCATATTTATCATGTCTTTATTTAACAACAACAGCATATTTTTTCTTCCTTGTATCTACATACCCATGAAAATAATTCAGAACAATGATTGATGTGATAAAAACAACATACAGCTTCGTACACAAATAAAATACCTCAAGAGTATATGCATAAATACACGTACACACGCACACACAAACAGGCACCCCCAATAAGCAGCCAAAACATCATCAACATACTTCCAAACTTCTTCAACTACACCCAAAATACCCCAAAATAACTCAAGTAAATAATTCCACCCAAATACCCACCACCAACTCAAAAAGTGCAATCGCGATCCTCGACTTATCCTGTGTTTAATAGTTCCCTTAAACCTTCGGAACATTTATTTTCATGATAAGACCGAGAGAGAAAGGAGAGAGAGAGAGAGAGAGAGAGAGAAGAGCAAAAAAAAGGAGAAAGAGAAAGAAAGAAAGAGAGCTGCACACAAACTAGCAAACAAACACACTTACAAACAAACAAACAAACAAACATATATATTGTCGCAGTGGGATTCTTTCCTTATACATTTGATTGACAGTTTTATGATATGCTCACTCGAGTTTGCACTACACACACACACACACACATGGACACAGACACACATACAAACACACACACACAAACACACACAAACATACCACATATACACACATACATACTAAGCTTGCTGCTTTTTTGTTTGCATAATGAGGAGCATGGATGGAAAAAATCAATAAATGTACCATACCAGACTGCTTTGCTGCATGTTCGAATGGTGCTTCCATGCTCTTGTGTGTGTGTGCGTATGCGTGTGTGTGTGTGTGTGTGCGTATGCGTGTGTGTGCGTGTGTAAAAGAGTTGTTTATATGATATTTCCTCCACGATTGCTGTACATTGATTAGTTTTATTATAAAACTTTGCGTTTGTCTCGAAATAAAATTTCGTTTCGTTTATTTTTATATGTTTGGGATGCATTTGCGTTTGTAACTTTTTAATTTCGTTCAAATATTTGTGAGTGGTTTCTTTGAAAGATTGATTGATTGAACATATAAATAAAAAACGAGCAATTAAACAAACAAACAAACAATCAAATGAATGACTGAACGAACGAACAAACAAACAAATGAACAAACAAACGAACGAACAAACAATCAAATGAACGAACAAACAAACAAACGAATGAACAAACAAACGAACGAACAAACGATTTAACTTTTTTTTCCAAATTGACATACCAACCCACTATAGGTCTATCCGACATTGGACATCCGTAATGTGGTTCAAGCTGGCCACAAGGAGGAAATTGTTAACTGGTGCAAAATCGGAGTGAAAAAATGCAGTCAAGTCGTTACATTCACACCTTTTAGATGTCTGGGTGAGAATTTTTCCTAATCACTACTACTACTTTTACTACTGCTGCTGCTGCTGCTATTACTGCTACCGCTACTACCATTGCCACTGCTGCCACAGCTGCTACTATTTTTTATTTCCAAACGTAACTTCCCAGCTGGACCTTTTCAAAGCGATGCTCTGCTCGTGCCGGAAGGATGCATTTTTGATCACGTGCATGATTCTGGAATGTGTACAAACATGGCTGAGTGGGGAGTCACGTCGGCGAAGTCGTGCGAGAATAGGTCGATGGTGCAGAACAGTTTCGCCATGCTGCAGCCGTGCGGTATCAACAAGTTCGAAGGGGTGGAGTTCGTCTGCTGCCCGCCTGCTTCGAGTTCGTTCAACTGCTGCTACTGTCTTTTTCATTCCCATTTATAACTCTTCAATTATAAAGCAAATCAAACTTTGTCCCAATATTAAGTTAATTTTTGTATTACGTTAAAAATGAAGAGCCAAAGAAAAACGTTGACTCGCAGCCTGAAAAGCATTCAATAACAGCGAAACTTTCAACAGCCACATCAAAATCCTCACCATCAGCTGCCAAAAAGTCTAAACAATCGCAAGGAGCGCAAGAAGCCACTACCACTGCTAACAACAACAACAACAAACTGACCCAACCAACATCATCAAAATCAGCAGACGCCCTGTTGAAAGGCTACCTGAAAGACAACCAACCTCGCAGGAATGAACACGAACTCTTCAGAAAGGCAGAGTCGGATATGGAGAAGAAGCACCACGAACACATTGCAAAGGTTGCTTGAGAAACGATGATGCGATGATGTAATGGTTAAAAGTGAATTGAAACTAATACTGGGCGCAAAACTGAATTGTATTAATTCTTTTTTTCTCCAACTCACTGCAACAAATTAGATTATGCAGGATTGGGCGCTGGCCAGGCAGAGAGTGCAAGAGTTGAAGAACATCGACCAGAAGGCAAGCAGCAAACTCAGTAAAGAAGTTACCAGTGTCAGTAGCTACTAATTTTATAAATTCACTAATTCTCTAAATCATTCTTCAATCAATCATAAGTTATGTCAAACAACTACAATAACATAACATAACAAATAATTAACATTCCAAAGTTACACATGTACCATACAATTAAGATTCACAAATAATGCGATAACGTATACTTTACACTTTAAAAATTTGCAAACCTCCCAGCGTTTCCAGAAAACTTACGAGGCTGAAGAGCTGGAGGCAGAGATGGAGAAGATGCAGCTGATGGACTTGCACGAGCAGAGAGTTAGGAAACAATTTACAGACAAGCAGGCCGATCTGCTTGAGAAGTTTAAAAAATCTCTACATGAAAAAGAACCCAGCGTAAGTTATAATATTTTTACAATTTGTTATTTATACTATTAATAATTGTTATTATTTATTATATTGTATTATCAATCGAACTATAATGAATATCAAAAACGAAGGAGTGATGATATTCTTTTGTTTTGCTAAATATTTGGAGAATTATTATAGGAATACGAGCAAGAATAATAATGATGTTTATAGTAAATTAACCATAATAATAAATATTAATAATAATATATAAATGTAATATTAAGAATAATATTAGTTAATAATAATAATAAATAATATCAATACTAATTATTATTATTAAAATATTATTTTCGCAGACCCAGCATATCCGTAGCGCTCTGATCCATCTCTTGAGACTGCAGCAGAAATATCGGCTGCATCTTATAAACAGGTCTAGAGTAAAAATAAATTTATTAGAATAATTATTCAGTCATAATATTATTAATTCCTATCATTATTTTTATTATTACTATTTGTTGTAAATTTTGTTATAATTCGGTTGGCAAGTCAGTCAGCTCACTTGGTAAAGGCTTAAATACCGTCTGACGGAATTTCAAAAACTATCATACCAAATTAAAATTATTTTAGCTATTGTTATTGTTATTATTATTATTGTTATTATTATTATTATTGTTGTTGTTGTTGCTGCTGCTGCTGATAAAACAGGTTCAGACGCATGAAAGCTTCGACCACTGAAAGTTCAAAGGTCGACCAGCTGAGAAAGGAAACAGCTGACGGTTTAAAGACTATTGATGTTGAGGTAAAGAATGCTCTCACCCTATTGGCTGGTAGTAAATTTCAAGAGGAAATACTTAGTAGCATACGTTAGCGTTGTTTGTGTGTGTTTGTGTGTGTGATTGTTTATGAATGTGTGTAGGTGTGTACGAGTGTGTGTGTGTGTGTGTGTGTGTGTGTGTGTGTGTGTGTGTGTGTGTGTACGAAACTGTATTTATGTTTGTCTATAATTGCGCGGGTTTTTTTCTGCATGTGTTGATGTGTTGTACGCAAATACAGACAAACAACAAAACAAAATGCAAACAAAACTAGCAAATACTCACACATACACAACGACACTACAGACAAATACATTGTTGAATTGAACTCAATGGACCCTGCGATATACAACAACCTACTAAACAACACCCTACCTTCAACTACAACAACTACCACAACTACTACTACCACCACCACCACAACCACAACAACTACGACTACTACTACTACTACAAAAACGCCTACAGCTGACAGCAGTGATGACGCTGATGACGTAAGCAGCAGCTTCATTGATGAAGATATCGATAGCGATGACGACGACGACGATGACAAAGATGATGATGACGATGATGATAAAGATAATGATGAAATGTCTAAAAGTAAAAAAACGACAGCTGCCGTGGTTACTACAGCTGCTACAAAAAAAATAATTTTGAAGTCAACAACTATTGAACAGAAAATTAAAGAATCAAAGGATACCAAATCTCACTCGGATGATGATGATGACGATGATGATGGCGGTGATAAAGATGATGATGAAGAAGACGAAGATGATGACTCTGATGAAGAGGACGATGACGATGATAAAAAGTCGAAACCGGTTAAAAAGGCCACAAGTAAAAAAGACATTAAAGCTAAGAATCACTTCAGCAGTGATGAAGATGATGACTATTACGAAGAAGTTGATTATGACAATGATGATGATGATGAAGATGATGATGATAACGACGAAGACGACGATGACGACGATGATGATGATTACGATGAAGATGATGATGATGGCGGAGCTACAAAAAGCAAAAAGAAATTAACCACCACAACCAAACAACCTCCGAAAAAAGCTGCAACAGCTACTACTGCTGCTGCTGCCACTACAACTGAAAAATCAAGCGATGATGACGACGACGACGATGATAAAAGTTCTGATAGTGATGATAAAGATGATGATGATAAATTATCGATGAACTCATCGAAACCACCAATTAAATCAACATCAACAACAGCAGCTAGGGGCAAAAACAAAATGAAGTTGACGACTAACGCTCTGAACGCCATGGACGAAACTAAAAAATCGCAGAAGCAGCAGCAGCAACAACAACCAAACAACGCCACTGATGACAAAAAGGTTGTTGAAACTTTTGAAAATAGAGAAGACGCTAAAAAGGTGACAGAAACTGGCATCGAGAACAACAGCAACAACACTTCCGCCAGCAACAACAAAAACATCAACAACAACAACAACAACAATAATAATAATAATAATGCTAACAACAACAACAAATTGCACAACAGCGGTATAATCTACAGCAGCGAGAGTAACAAACCAAATCGCTATTTCCTAGAACCATCAACCACCACCACCAACAACGACAACGACAACAGCAACGACCACTTCATTGTAGAACCGGTAGTGGCTAACTTCAGGACAGACCTCCTCTCGATAAAGGTGCAGTCGAAGCCCCAACTGGCGAAAAACAAAAACGAAAAAGAATTCTCCTCTGCCATCCCTCTAGGACTCTCAGTGGGCGCGGTCACTGTTGCCATAGTGATCATAGCCGGGGTCATGATCATGCGTAGGCGGGCCGCGGTCAGCAAGCAGCAGCACAAGATACTCCCCACTGAGCCGGTCATTGGAGACCTCGTGACGTCACCTGAAGAGAGTCACGTGATGAATATGCAGGTCTGTCGGCTCATCAGTATCTCATTACTAATCTCATTAATCGTTTTTATTATTATTCTTATTTTTATTAATATATATATATTAATATAACAATAATAATAATTATTATTATAATATAATTTTTTTGTAAATAATTGTTTTTTTACAGGTGAACGGTTACGAGAATCCAACTTATAAGTACTTTGAAATGAATGCGCAGAAATAAAAACAACTAAATATATATGTATATATACATATAAATATATATATATATACAGAGAGAGAGAGAGAGAGAGAAAGAAAGAGAGAAAGAGAGAGAGAGAGAGAGAGAGCAAAAGAGAGAGACATATAATATATATACATTTCGAATATAATTGTTGTTGTTCTATTAAGAATAATTTTACAATCACAAGAATCACGGTAGACTGATTGGTTGATATGAAATGATGACGATAATAATCATGATGATGATAACGATGATGACGACGATGATGATGACGATAAAGGTGACGATGATGATGATGAGGACGATGTAGATGATGAAAAAACTTTTAACTTTATAAGCATTTGCGAATATTTAATAGATTTTTTATGAAAAAGTTGTTAATTAATGAATATAATTAGTAATAATTGTTATTATTATTAAACAATTAGTATAATTTATCTATTAATAATATAAATATAATATTGACAAATAACTAGAACTCTTTATTGAAAAGTTTTTTTTTGTTTGAAATATCGTCTATCAATAATAGCATTCGAGACGTTTGTTGTACATACTTGCTTGCTTTCTTCCCAGTCAATTTAATATATTTGGTCCAAGTTAAATAGCACTAATTATTTAACTAATTAACCAGTCAATTAATTAATTAATTAATTTTATATTATAGATGTAGCTAGGTTATATACGTTTTATAAGTATATGTATAAACTATAAATATTATTTATATATATATATATATACAATATTACTATGTATTCAATGTATGTCTTTGTATATATTTCGTGTTATATATATATATATATATATATATATATAGTAAATATTGTGCAAACCGCTTATTACTATTATTATGTAAGCATTTTTTGTCTCCTCAATAAAGGTGTTTGTTAATTAATTAATTAATTAACTAATAGTAATTAATTTGTAGTTAGTTACTTAAGCTAAGAAAGCCATCTACAGACACAAACCAAATGGAAAAACTGCACGATAGTGACTGGTTGAATACACCTTTCACTGTGGCAACATGGAAAATTAGAAGTGTTTATGATCCGTTAATTTAATAATTAATCAAGTGAATGAATGGAGATATATGGATATAATATCCTATAGATCCTATAATATCCTATATATTATATTATATATATATAGACCACGTTGTTGCATTTTGCTTATGCCACAATTTTGTATTTCTAAGTATTTTTTTTGTATTTTTCAGAAATTTTTTTGTTTTTTTCATTTTTGTTTGTTTTTTCGTTTTTCCTTGTTTTCGTTTTAGTATCTCTTTCATTTTTTTCATACGTCTCTGCAGCATACTTCCGCTCTTTTTGACCATGTAAAGGTTTTTCTAGAATAATAAAAAATTATTTTTATTTAATTAATTTAATTTCTTTTCTGAAAAATATATTAACTATTTATCGTTATTTGTAGTGAACATGTGTGCGTGTGTGTGTGTGTGTTCCTATTAGATGTTTTATTTTTTTTAAATTAAATTATGATGAAACCAAATTTTTATTATTATTATTATCCAATGCAAAACGCAATATTTATCTATTTTAATTTTCACTAGAACGCATTTTCACGCACACACACACACACATACACAAACACACACACACACACATACACATTCAATATTCACCTACAAATATAAATCTACAATACTTAAATATTCAGTCATATTTACACAACATACACACCACGGACAAAAACACATTCACACGCACACACACACACACATATTTATCGCTATGTCTTTTTGTATTTATTATTCTTCACAACTTATATTATTTATTAATGTTAGCCATTGTATATGTCTTTCTATATAGTGTTACCATTTTAACGACTATACCATCTATTAGAATACCTGAAATTTTCAAATTGATGGTAGATAATAATAATAATATTTATTAAAATAATAACAATCGAACAATAAACAATAAAAATAATAATAATTAATTTTACTAGAAGAATTCTTACTAGGTTAACTCCATGTAATCCACATGTATAAACACGTCTTTTCAATGTATTTAAACGGCCTGTATATATATATATATATATATATATATATATATATATATTATTAAATGTCGTGTCATGATAATGATGTCAACCAATCATTTTTTAATGAATAAAATAATCTGGCTTCTTTTGATAAACATTCTGCGTGTGTGTGCGTGTGCATGTGTGTGTGTGTGTGTGTGTGTGTGTGTGTGTGTGTGTGTGCGTGCGTGCGATGGCGAACGCTGTAACTGCAGTAGCATTAAATAGGATGAAATGCACTGGGGAGTCTGGTTTTACGTTTAAGAACTAGAAGGTCTATGAAATAATAATTTCAATTTAATATTCAGAAATATATGGTCGCTATTTTTAAACTTTGTCTTCCTATCTCATTCGAGACATCAAACAACCAAGGATGGGGCAAATAAGATTACTCAAAAAAGTTTTATTAACACACCACACACTCACACACACACTCACACACATAAACAAACTCATTTACTTAAACACACACAGATATATATACATGTATGCGTAGCAAGAGAGAGAAGAAGAGAGAGAGAGAGAGAGAGAAAGAGAGAAAAAGGAAGAAAGAGTGACAACGAAAGAAAGAAAGAAAGAGAGACAGACGGATGTGGGGAAAAAGAAACACACTTTACAACTCACACCACACGCACGCACATTTCAGTAGTTGAGTAAGGTGGAATTTGGAGTTTGATCCTTGTTGAATGAAATGGAGACCAGGCTAGCAAGAGTGTGTAATATAAACGAAGGATTTCAATTGTTTGAAACTTCAGTTTTAAATTCTCTTTTTTTTGTTTTGTGTCTATCGCATTTTTTGTTTTCACGACAATTTGCGTCATTTTAGTATGTTTAATATATATTTAGTGCTACATAATGCCTAACACAGTACGATCAGCTGATATTTTAAAAATGAATTCGATAAAAGTTGCTAAATTTCGTTTTTAGATTTTTTTCCATATATTATTTTATGGGATTATATTTTTGTTAAATTTTGAATTATTTTATAATATTAACAATAATTATTAATTATTTTCAGCCGGTTTTGTATTCCTACTTCAGAAGTTCAGCGTCGTGGAGAGTCCGAATTGGCAAGTATTTTTTTCTCTTTTGTTGTCAGATTTTTTTATATTATATATATTATAAACACCCCAAACTATAAAAAAAGTTATATAAACTCATATAATAATAAATATTTTTATAAATAATTAATTAAAATTAATTATTATCAGCTCTAGCCTATAAAAAGATAGATTATGCGTACCAGAGTGTTAACTTGATAAGAAATGGTGGTGAACAGGTTAGTAAGTTTGGCAAAAGGTTGCTGTTTTTATTTATTTGTAAAAATTCATTTTCATTTTTGGTAAAAATCTATTAAATTATGAATAAACTACGAATAAGCTAATATTTTTAATTTTTTTCCAGTTGAAAAAAGAATTCTTGGACATAAACCCATTGGGCCAAGTCCCAGCTTTGATCATTGACAACAACACATTCACTCAATCAGTAAGTGGTGAAAATAAAGTTTTACATATGTAGTAAATAGTAATTTTAAATAGATTTAGTAAAGTAGTATTATTTAATATTAATTTGATCTAGTTTATCTCAATTTATTCAGTAAGTGGTGAAAATAAAGTTTTACATATGTAGTAAATAGTAATTTTAAATAGATTTAGTAAAGTAGTATTATTTAATATTAATTTGATCTAGTTTACCTCAATTTATTCAAGCTACCTATTATTGAATACTTGGAAGAAACCAGGCCAGAATATCCTCTTCTACCAAAAGATCCAGTTAAAAGATGCCAAGTAAAATACTTCATCAGCTAAATTTTTTCGATTTTTTTTTGCCAGGTTTATGTTAGTTTTTTAGATGATGCAAAGGTGTAATGGTTGAGGTCTTATGGTGACAAATCCCCTCATTTCACCATTTGGAAAGATTTTTTATATTTTTTAATATTTTTACTAAACTTAATTAAATCCTTTATTGAAAATTTTAAACTAGTTTGGATTAAAAATCAACAAAAGAAATAAAATCAGGATTTAAAATTTCAAATTTTTCAAGGTCAGACAGTTATCGGAGGTAATAAATTCCGGAATTCAACCAATCCAGAACCTAGCGGTGATCAAAAAGCTGGCAGAGATGACAGGAAATCCAGATGACAAAACAAAATGGTCCCATTTTTGGATATCCAGAGGATTAGAAGGTACCTGAGACTTAAAAAAATCCCATTAATCCAAATTTCAATTCGTCAAACAATCCCATTCAAATTTGTTACTTTTTCATTTTGCCAGGCTTATTTTCGAAAATTCTATAGAATTTAATTTTATACTGATTTAAAAAAATTTAATTATAAACTTTTTTTATCAAGCTTATGAGAAATTAGTGCAAAAGACAGCTGGGAAATTTAGTGTCGGAGATGATGTGACACTGGCGGATTTGTGCCTTATACCACAACTGTACAATGCTACGAGGTTTTGCTTTGTATTTTGCTTGTCATTTTTTGTATTTTGCTTGGTATTTTTTGTGTTTTACTTTGTATTTTTGTTTTATTTCGAACATTTTTTTTTCAATGAATGCTTCTAATTGAGAATTTCATTTCAAATACCTTAGTGAAATCATTCACTTTGTTAACATTGACGCTGAAAAATTGGTAAATCTCAATCTTCAACAATCTTTTTTTATTATTGGATCGTTTCAGATAAACTGCTTTGAAAAAATTAAATAATTTATATCTACTTTATTATTTTATAATTGCTTTATTATTAATTAATTAATTAAATATCGACAAAATTTTTCAGAAATGGAGTTGATCTTAGCCAGTTCCCGACTATTCAGAGGATAGCTGATGAGTGCAGACAGCTGGAATGTTTCAAAATGGCAGACCCATCTAATCAACCAGACTGTCCTGCTGATTTGAAATGAGTGAAATGATCGAATGAATGAAATGAGTGAATGAATGAAATGAGTGAATGAATGAAATGAGTGAATGAAATAAGTGAATGAATGAATGAAGTGTGTGCGTGAGTGAGATGATAAAATGAATAGGTGAGAGAATGAGTGAGAGAGTGAAAACATTGAATGAGCAATCAAATGAATGAAAGAATGAAATGATTGAATGAGTGAATGATCTTCATCCAGCTCTCCAAAGACACCATGCCTAGAAAAGATATAGTAGTTTTTCATCGCTAATTTAATCATCGTTACTTGTAAAGCATTTTTTCTTTAATTCTTCTATTATAGCTTTCATATATCATTTCATTTTTTATCTGAACATAGCTTAACTAACTAATTAGCATAACTAAGTAATTAATTAACTCATATATAATTAACCAATTCTAGGAATTAAGTTGAAGGAATTGACACACACAAACACATTTATAAATACAGACGTTAAACTTTTATTACATAAACGAATGTTAGTTAAAAAAATAAAAACGTATACACATATAAAAAACAAATACGATCTTTTTAATTAATTATCTAATCAATTATCCAATTAATTAGTTAGATAGATTGTCGATTGAATTAATTAAGCACTCAACGTTCTAATAGGTACAACAAAAAACTCAGTACAAACAATACAATGCTACATATTAATTGTAAAAATTAAATTAATTATCTTTAATTTAAAGTCGTTTCTTGTGCGTTATAATTGATCAGAGGAGAAACCTAACGACATATTGACAAAAAAAACATACAAACATGCAAATACGTCGTCTATCTATAAAACTAAAACACAAACACGCGCACACACAAACAAACACATACAAAGACAAATATTGTTATCAAAAGTGTCTTACATAATTTATTTTCAGATAAAATGAAAATACGTATAAGTCCATAATAATGAAAACGATCATAAATTCATCCATCCATTTTTCTACTCATCCATTCAACTAATCATTCGTTAATTCTTCTTTTCATCCATCCATTCATATATTTAACCCACTCAATCATCTCTTCATCATTAATATAGGTGCACGTCATGTCACCATTCATGTACGCCTAACAAATGAATACAGACATTTTTCATATACACAAAACTTAAAACGAACACACACACACACACACACACACATATATATATATATATATATATTATATATATATATATATATTACATATGTGTGTGTGTTTATATATAGAACATTTACGGAGCATATTGATGTATTTAAATATATGTATACTTGTTACATACAATATATATATATAACGATGAGTTGTGCGAAAATTAATAACGATATTTATGACAATATCAATAAAACATTAACTGTCCTACAAACGAGTTAAAGACTTATATATATATTATATATATTATATTATAACGCATATATATATATATATATATATATATATATATATATATATATATATATATATATATATATATATATATATATATATATGTGTGCGTGGGAGACCATAT